GAAAATAAAGGGAAGACGCGGCCTGCCAGGAGACGACTCTTATGCTTAGAACGGCTACACCCAGTAAAGAAATGAAGACCACAACACGAGAAAGGTGATACAGTACATGTGGTCATACCCCGTGACTACAAAGTGTCTTTTACCCAGGATTGACCAGATTCGTGGAAGCGAAGATCAAACATTCTTGTCACACGGCAAAGACCAGCTCTACCAAAACCCAAATAAGTCTATAAATCCCAGCTGAAATAACAAATATCGCACCCATAACCCTGAACTCCGGTAACATCTTCATGAAGTGAGAAAACGGAGACTATTTCGTATTTATGCCATACCAAGAGCTGTTCTAGAAGAGCGGGAGACGGTTCCATGCACCCTTTCTGCATGGTTCAGTAGCGCAGACTTCGACTCCAACTTCTCTCCGCAGATAGAGCACCCAAAACGCATGTCATTTGGAAACGGCTTGATATGCTTGTTGACGAAGTGTCGGCTCAGAGATCCAGAATTCTTGTACGTTCTCATGCGATCGCTTTGTGGCAGCATAGGGCTACCAAGGCAAATAAAGCAGATCGTTGGTCTCTCTGTTGGAGATTTGACGCAAACCGAAGCGATAGCCTGGGAAAACATATCGTCGCTCTTATGTGAAGGGATTGGATTCTGCCTTTTAGGCAAGGCGGCAGCCGGTGGCATATTGGCAGCATCGGCGGAGCGTTTTTGGGTGACACGAGGCCGCGAGGGTGCGCCCTCTTCTGCATCACATACCGCAATCACTGCATTGATTGCAGCAATTCGACGCTCATACTCTTTCTCAACCGTCGTACCCGGCATCGTCAGGACAGTGTCGATAAGGGTCATATGCTGTGGTGTCATATAGCCGGTGCTTTCTAAAGCGACCTTTACTTCTTCATCGACCATCTTTCCGGATAGTTGCCGTTCGCTGTCGATCACCGGTTGCTCGTTCTTATACCGCTCCAAGTTCTCACGAATCAAGCGATTGCGTTGTCGTCCTTTTTCGTTTCGCAAATCACGTACAGCAAGATTATACTGCTCCTCTGCACGTTCAAATTTCTTACGTAACTTGTCCACTTTTGCGTTTTGCAGTACCCATCGTCTGTGGAGTTTCCGCAGACGATGAGAAACTGACCCTTTCTGCGGAGGATCATCACCAAACTCGCGCTGGAGAGCGAACTGAGCATTTTCAAACGTTTGTCTTTTCGCGTCCCGGGCCTGCTCTCGTGCTTGCTTGAACTCTTCCATGGCAATCACACGCGGGATTTGATTGACAGAGCTCGAATCTTCTAGCCTATATGGCCTGCGCGGATCGATAGACCGACTCATCGAGCAGGCAAAACGCATGAGCTGCTTCTGAGCGGGCATGCCTCGGACAATTGCCTGAGCATCGACGTGGATACCAACACTGTAGTGCCGAACAAATGTGTTAATGCTGGCATGCTGGAGCATCACATTTTGTAGTTCATTTGACACATCCGCTGTATAGTATGGACTTATTAGTCAAGAGCGCAGAGTCTAAACAAGGGCCACTCACGACTATCATTGAATGCTTTCGCCGCGCCGTACCGGAGGCCATAGGGCTTCGTGACCTCTTCAAAGCCCGTAATTTCGCCCCCACGTTTCATACGATAACGTAGCCACCCGCCTGTCAGATTCTGTTCCAGGGCAATTCGGATCCCATTGGGTTCTCTCAATGCGTGACAAAAAACATATTGATCAAGAATTTCCGGTCTCAACTTCAACTCCTGCTGTCCAAGTCCATTCAAAACCCGAAGACTATACAAATTTTCTGGACAGTTCATCACGCGACCGTCTTTAGAAAGCGTCTTGAATGCCCCGATTCGAAAAAGCAAGCCCAACAAGAAAACGTGCGGGCTAAGGACCAGCGTAGGATCAAAAATGACCTCCGGGATAGGGAAGGTATTCCTATTGCAATCAGCTAAGCTGACCTGATTCGAGCTCGTATCGCTGTGAGGAGAGTAAAAGAGGAATGGAAGGACAACGACAGGGCAAGGTGAATAGAACCATGGATATAAACGAGGGATTCAGGGCTAGGGGAATATTCTTACGATTCCTTCTTGCCAAGAAATGATTTTGTGAACTCCGGCCTCATATAAATGAAAAGCCGAGGAAGGTGGCCATTTGGATCTCGTACCAGGGTCAACATGAGGTCCCGGTAACGAAGGTTCAAGAGCGCTCCAGGCCGGCTGCCAGTGATGGCGGCCAGTTGACAGTACAGGAGGAGCTGCATCCGGTACCAGCCACAAGGGAAAGTCATCTCCGTCGTAGACAGTACCACTCGAGCAAACTCGGCCACATCTTCAATATACATGGTCGCTTTCGGTCGCCGATCGAAGCAGAGATTTTTCTCAGTCGCAACTATCGCAAGCACCTATGGGCTGTCAGCCATAAACAGATCAGTCTGACCGATTAGCGGACCAACAACTCACATCTTCGATTTTGACGATCGTATCTTTACTAAGTCCATGCCCGACTTCAGCCTTGTAGACCAGATGCCACCATTTCCAGAATGTCTCCAGCGAGCTTTTATACTTCAGTCCTGGCGTGTGTCGCCCGTTCTTCCCCCTCCGCTGATCACAGCGCCAGGAAAAGAGAGCTTTCAAAAACGGATCGTCTCCTCTGTGTCAGAGAGCCAGAAGAAACATTCCACAGGGTCCCGCTTTCCGCCCTCGCAAAACCTGGGATAATTAGCCAAGTGCAATTGGAGAAACCATGGGGGTAGCACGCTCTCACCTGTCCCAATAGTCCCGCGTCTCATCCAGTTTGTCTTGGGTTCTTGGGCTGTAGCGTTTTTGCCGAAGCTGGGAGACATCGAGACACTCTGCCTCCTGGAGATAGTGCTCCGGTGGAAGCTGCTTCTCTTCGTCTTCCATGGGCAAATCGTCCTCGGACTCCGATTCATCCTCGTCATCACAATCCCCAGATGTGGTGGCCGAATCGGTTTCTGAGGCTTCGTTCGAGAAGATCTCAGGCAGTTCTGAGCTCGCGTCACTCTCATCGTCTGACAAATCAGGACGCGAAAGGTGAGGCATGATGTGGGAGCAGTGTCCGGCAGGGAATAGGGAACTGATCAAGAGTGTATAGAATCCACTCGAAACACCAGTGTTCTGCCGGAGAAACAGATGCGATGATGAGAAGATCGCTGGCGAGCGAGAAGAAACAATGAACGTCGGGAGTCATGGCGGTCGATATTTATGGAATCCAGGGAATAAAGGTGCTCAAAAGGTGCTGAAAGGGGAGCCAGAATGGCTCCTTCTTTCCGGACCCTGGTTGGAACGGGCTCGCAGCCGCAGTATCACGAGTGGGACCAGGAACGGCCGACACTCCAGTGAGGTCGCTGCGGGGCTAGGCGCCATGCAACGGCCAAAAAGAGAGGAAAGTGGCAGTAGGTCACATTGGCCGTGGCCTTAGATACACGTGACGCCAAGACCGTCGCCGGTGAATGGGAGGCTTAAAACGGCCCCCGAAGCGGCCTTTTCTGGCCTGCTATTCACCGTCTCATTGTTATGTGTAGTATATAAGCGGTAGCCGATAGTAAGTATAGCTATATAGATCGAAGAGTATAGGGAAGGAGTTATATAGTGGAATTAGCCCTAGATAAAGGAGGGTGACGTTCGTTAAGTTTCCTTTATTTTTATATTTATATAACCGAGTTCGACTCATTTATAACCTGTCATTCTCGAACGACCACTTAGGGGGCTCACCTAGTGAGCCCTATAGAACGGTCGTTCAGTGGGCTAGCACCCACCTTAAAGCTGTCGGTAGGCCTAATAGCACTCCTGTATAGTAGCATGTATTAGAGCGAGCTACATCGGGCAAATGAATTCATCATCATCATTAGTCATAGTTTCACCGGCCCCCAGTTCAAGACGACTAGCCACCTGCCAGCCACATTTGTGATCTTCAGTCACCGTCTCATAGTTAATAAAATCTTTCTGAGCAAATGGGTTAATCAATATTCCAAGGGCTTTCCATTATTGACCATAGTGAATTGATGTACAACGTGATAGTCTAGAAGCAGAAACTGTTCAAATCCCCCTAGTAGGACGGTTCCACCTTGATGGTGAAGGCTGCGAGACCCCAAAGAGTATCGGCAGAAAACGGCCCTGATTGGGTATTCCGGGAGTGCCGTTCCGTGATAGTGTCAACACTGCGGAATGCTGTGCTTCTTTTCTTGGCTCACCTGGGTAGGTAGCGTTCACTATCGATACGCGTGAAAGAACAGTAGGTGGTGGGCACTAGAAAGACCTGGTACCTTTGCGCAGTTCAACAGACTTGCAAACTTTGTGGGTTTTACTTCATCACTATCCATTTGTTTGCATTTCAGGCCAAAGCACTCAGTGGCTGGGCATCCATCTGGCGTGGCCTTCCTGCCTGCTGTGGAAGCGCGTCGTCACTCTGAACTGCTATCTTAATAATAATTCGACCATGGAGAGCTATCATAGCAGGAGCGCCCGTACATTTCAGACAAGTCTCATACAACCCAGATAGTGCAGTTTCACTACCACCTGTATTGTGAGGCCCAACATGCGGTAGGTGAGAGATGCCCGTCATGGATGCTACCCATGGCAATCTCATTTATCTCAACCGTCACATTCGTCACAACTACCAAGAACAAAACTTAGTATGCCTTAGGGTATCACGAGCCGCAAAGACCGAAAGCAAGCGATGAACATCCTGTTAAAACTTGATTGCCCTGGAAGATGCGAGGAATGCTGTAAGATGGCCAAAGAAAGCATTTAGTGAAGTCAACATACGCGTCATTTGCTAAATGATGCAAGGCTTTCTGCCTTACAAACACGAGAACGAACTGCCGAGGAAGAGAGCAGGAAACCAGGAATTGACACTAGAAATAGGGAATCATATAAGGGCAGGAAGCCTCCCACACAGCCACAACCGCGCGTGTACGCAATGGCCCCCTCCTAGGCTAAGGGTGTATCCCATGACAACCTATTGGAACTCCCATACCATCACCGGATACGGAACGTTCGTTCTATAAGCTCAGGACGCTCCAAAGCTGACCCGTCCATACACCCGTCGAGAAAGCACTCTCCTACGAAAGTGACACAGTTGTCTTGCTCAGACTTTCGCAACAGAACAGGAACGCTGCAACCAAATAGCACGCAGATTAGATCTCCCTTCATTGCTCTCTCCGATACCATGCCGATATGTCCGTTGCGACTCACCATCAGACGGAGCGACAGTCTTACAACTGTATCGAAGAATCGACCGAAAAATGTGTCGTGATAGTATTCGTCTTGATTTGGAGTACTATGTCCCTCTGGGCCAGGGGGTTCGATGTCAGCTTGGTGGCTGCTGTCGCGCAGGATGCTCTCAAAGTTGTGTCTGTGAATTTGAAGAGATCTTGTGCAGTCAAACCATATCTGAAGCTCCTTGGGAGTTTCGGTGGCAGAGTCCTGTTCTGGTACCAGCACCAGCGCTGATAATAGGCCGACAAAGTCTCGAAAGAACTCTGCAGTAGGCATAGCGTACCGTAAATATCGGTCTTTCCGGTCCAGTGCCAGACTTCTGCACACGCCCATAAGAATTTCCGTTGATGAGCTGTAGAATGTAGAGCCAGGAAAGCTTGGCGGTTCCATGGCGTTCCCTTCAGAGCTTTGGACCAAGTCGAAATTCCTGGATCCGGCCAATCCATCGACAGTATCAACGATGACCCCGCGAGCGAATAGTGCCGAGCCTTCAAATTTGTACTCAGCTGCTCTGTTCTTGGAAGCCGAATAACAAATGGAGGGGTCAAATGCGAGGGCTTTAGGAGTCCGGAGGTTTCCGATATGCGTCATACAACTCTGGCTCACCATTAGGGGAATCACCAGGGGATTTGTTTTCTGCCAGTGAGGTACCCAGGATGGTCGCAAAGTGCTTCCAGGCGCGTTGAACAGCGAAGTGAAACATATGATATCCAATGACTTGTGGCGTGCGATAAAAGCCTGCGTGAAACGCAAGTAGACCTCTTGGCTGCTGAGGAAGTAATTGACGTCGAGCAGTGACCCATCGATCGAGAGGGCCATGAGACCATAGATCCGATCGCGATCGTCGGTTGCATTCATGCAGGAGAAGTAGGCGGCTAATGCCAAAATAGACAGGTTGAGTGTAGCTCCAGGTTTCCTTCCAGCTTTGTATAAGCCCCAGACTCTTCTCCGGTTGTTTCCGTGCGTGAAGCCAGGAGTTTCCTTGATGCCGATCGAAGTACATTTGTCGGCAATTGATATACTGCGGCAGACGGCGACCCTGCTGACGTTCCGCATGCCGCACCAGAAGGAGATACTTCGAGGGAGAACGAATTCCTGAACGGTCCAGATTCTAGACCACCATCTTCGAGCGAGAAGGTTCGTCAGCGCTGTCCACTGAGGGTAATACTGTTCGGTCTGTAACATGGTGCGCAGGTTGTCAACACTGAGTCTTTGTTGGGCAGTTTTATCCAGAAACCTGATGAAGTCCATGGCAAGGTTGCTATCACTCGACTCGTCGCCCAGCCAGATGATGACTTGTTCAGCTCGTACATAGATGTGCTGCATGAGCTGCACTTGTTGCGCTCTCTCTTCCAGATTGTCTTGGTTGATGCAGATTGAATCAATCCACCACCATTTTCCGTCGAGCAGCATATCCTTGGATGCCAAGGTCTGAATGAAGGATTGTAGGGAATCCAGAACCGGGAGCATTTGTTTCTCTATTTGAACAGCCCAGGACTTTGCGAGGGAAGCTCCATTGGAAGCCCATGTGTAAGATACAGAATGAAACGGGGGGAGCGGCTCTTCAACCGAAAAAGCCTCGAGAATAGCAGATATATGAATTCCATCTGAAACAAACTTCAATAGGCGTAGTTGGTTGTGCTGGATTGGCTTGTACGAGTAAAGAGTTCTTATAGTCATGGTGTAGGCAAGACAGGAATCAGAAAATCTGATTTTATGTGAGGTAGATTGCTCATGTGCTAGATAGAGGAGAGGGTCCACGTTGGTGGTGTTCCTGCTGCTAATATATCAGAAGATAATATCAGGCTGAGGCCTGGGCCAACACTTGGGTTGCACTGCCCGTCTACCATGCAGCAACCCAAATGCACTGCCCCTGCACAGAGCAGCATACTAGAGGGACTTATATATGAGGGACAGATTTTAATTGGCTCTCATGGTAATGATCATGGAATAAGTAAGAACGAAAAATGACCATGGCCTGGTTATAAGGGGCACATATAGTTGATCACTTTGTATCTGCAAGGCTAGGACTATTCAACGAGCACCAGGGCAGTGTTTGCGGGCCTGATGTCGAGATTTGTGTCTTTAAGGAGAGAGAAAAAATAGCCCGCTGCTTATTACACACCCTTACATGATAGTACAACAAGAAAAATCATCCTCACCACCTGCATTATTATCTCCATTGCCTCCACACCCACAGCACCCGTCTGCGTCATACCCATTCGAGAAATCTTCATCTTCGTTTGGGTCTGGCAAAGAAGTAGCAGTGACCTCGGTTATCGCGTCGTCAACATACTCATTAGAAACACTCTCATCTTCGCTTGAGTCAGCCATGGAAATAGCAGTAGCCCCAAGTATCGCCCCGCCACCTGCGCCTGCCGCAAGGTAATCAGCTTTTGAGCGGTTATCATCTGATGTACTTATGGACAATGGCTGGGCAGCGCCATTACCATTGATGTCGCGACGATACGCTGGCTGGAGGTTATTGAGATATTGGTGGTGTTGCTGTGGAGAACTGGGGCTCGGCTGTTGCTGAGTAGGAGCGCCATACGTACCCTCAGCAGGCACAAGCCACGGCTGCACTTGCTGCTTGGAATGCTGAAGATAATCTTCTCCACCATTGCTTGTTTCTTGCCGGGTCTCGTATTGTCCGCTTCGCGAAGTCGATATATTTTGACGTCCTGCCGTGGTGCTTGTTGGTTTAGTTATATTTCCTAACTCGATTGAATTACCCCAAGCAGATGATGCTGGTGCTGCTTGATGCGTCGTAGGACACGGAGGCTGACTTCCCCGTTTGTTGGTTGAGTCGACTTGTTCTCTCCTGATTTCAGGGCGCACCATACCCGTTAACGACATTTTGAGGCTAGTATTCGCGCCAGAATTGTCAATGCTTCGCCCCGAGCCTCCAGATGTGGGAGTCGTTGGGCCATACCCCTGACTCTGGGTTGGAGGAAAGTGCTGATGAGCCGGGGTCTCAGCATTAATAGTACGGGTTGGCTGGTAGAACTCGATACGGCTATCTGCGTCGCGCTGGTGTCCGATTGGGCTTCCTTCAGCCCTCCCACCACTGACTGCAGAGCTACTCTCATATGAAGATAGACTACCATCACCCTCGCTCGCAGCAATGCCTTTCGACGGTCAGTACTGAGACCCGCTCAGGTGGGACTTGAACTTACTCCAGACTCCATGAATGGTCAGTTGCACCGATCGCCAATGATGTTCGGCATCATGTCGCATTGACATGAGACACCTTTGCTGTCCAGCAATGCTCAAATTCCCCGCTGAGAAGAGTCTCGTTTGATGCTCAGAATCCTGCAAGGCTCCAGCCTTGACCCTCTGTTTTATGCTGTGTAATTCGGCAAGCTGTTGTTCTGAAATCACTTCAAGTGGCTCGCTGGACAGCACATCGCTATAAATGTTGTCAATGAATATCTACCCGAAAGGCGTTCAACAATGGCCTACATGATGTATAAGAGGAGCAACGTGTTGACCCCATCCAAGTATTTGTATACTCGCTCTCTCAGTGTCTTAACGTGCGGAATAACCGCCGTTTTCATTAACTGAGTAAGAGCTTCCTTGGAACCGTGGGGATCAGGCCCTGTCTCCAGGCTGAGTAAGTGGGGCGTTAGAACGTTGTAGAAGTAAGAGATGGGCTCCAGGAGCGCCTGGATTAACAGGTTGAGCTCTTGATCATATATGAAGTTCCCATCAATTGGTGAACAGTCGATAATGGTTTCCAACGTTGCTTTTAAACTGGAACAGAAGCCGTCCTCAGATTTCCACTCTGGAATCACATTTCTGTCTTGTTGGCAGTCTTGTATAGCCTCGGCTAGCGTCGAGAGAACCCCGCAAGCGGGTTCGAGAATGTCCATTGGGTGTGGAAAACCACGGATATTGGCTACGATAAAATCAAAAATCAAAACTGCGAAAGAGTGACTTGGTCTGCTTTTAGTTGTATCGTAATATGTCGTGGGTCTGCTGTGCCTGATTTGGGACTGCAGCACAAGGCTCCGCCATACGCACCCGTTCATCTTAACATCAAGGGCCGGGACAGGCGGGGAGGGTGGGGAAAGGGACGAAAATAGGCTGCAACGTGGGAGGCTGACTATTCCCTTAAAGCCAAGAGAGTCTGATCACACACGGGTTCAGGTCGATTAACCACTTAACGAATGTTTGCGCATTTATTTAGCGCAGCCTTTCGTTCCAACATCCTTGGCGCCTCGCGATTCGGTAGCGTCCTATGCAATGCAACCCTGAAAAAGGAATTCCAACTCACGCGCTCGACCATAATGAGGCAAACATGCAGGCTCAGCCGCATGATACAGGACGCGCAACGAAGCTCTCCGCTCCACTGACAAAAGGCTGAAGCATTAGGTTCCCAGGTGACTTGCAAATCACCCAAAGACCACGCAGGTTTTATCTTCTTTCGAACATGGAAGTAGCGAAACTAAACCAACTGCATAATCTATAATCGAGTCACCGTGCAAGTATTCCGATCCTGATCGTCTCCGACCAGTTTTTCTGCAAACCAAATGGAACAAGACGGGCTTCCTTTGGGCGTTGCTGCTCGGGGAGTTTTCAAACATCACAGAGAGTATCCTAGGCTTCCAGAGGGATATACTTGGGAAACCCAAAGGCAGCGCTATTGCCCACGCGACCTCCATATAAAATCACTATCGGGCCAGTCGGAGCTGAAGCACAAGTTTGGCTACGTATTCTGCCACCGCGGACTGTACGAACGTGCGTTGGGCATCCTTGACAATTCGGCGGGCGCGATTGAGAATGGCATAAACCAGGGCTTCTTTCTCCACGAGGTTGATGCGTTTCTCCTGGAGAAACTAGACAAGGCCTTCGTGGCCCATGACAAGAGTCCGCAGCGCGTCACGTCCAAAAAGGAAGTCTGGGACAGCTACTCTTTCCATGAAATCATCACGACACCTCTTGTGACGCGGAGAGTGAATATGGCTACGCCAGACTTTGCCAGCTCATACCTGCAGACGGATGAGAAAGTGCTTGGCCTGATCAACACGCTGTGGGAAGAAAAGCTCAGGCCTGTCGGCCGCACCCTTCAGATCGACCTGAGAGACGAGGACTTTGCCAGGGGGATCCCCTACTACTCTTTCCATATTGCAAAAGTGCCTTTTCAGTTTGCTCAGTCCCAGGGCGCACATAAAACCCTGGTGTGGAGCATGTTCCAGTCAACAATCTTGAAGGGGTACAATGAGAAGTTCGTCTCCTTCGATCATCTTCACGACGAAATCAGGAGAAACTCCAGGGAGACCTACGGGCGGAATTACTTTGACCTAAGGCATTTGCACATGCTTCCTCCTTTGATAATGGTCTTCTATGCCGATCCGCTGATCAAGCTTGCGGGGAAGACAAAACCCAAGGAACGGCATGGGAATGACAGAAAGAGCTACGAACATCTCTATGATATCTTCCTCGAACAAGTCAAGTCCTTTATTCGGATTGGACCCAACTCGTACAATTTCATACTTGAGATTGTCCACAGCGGTCTTGGGCTAGGATACGACCGGACGAAGCCTCTGGACGCAACCAATCCTCTAGACGGTGAGCCACTGATCAAACCAGAGGTTGTCTTCGAGAGCCGCGTGGACCGAGTCATGATTGACGTCAGCTTGGCACTAAGAAAGGAGTACCCAGACCTCCTGTTTTCGTCTTGCACACGATTGCCGGATGTGATTACATCAACGGGCAAGTATAAAGCGAAATTCCAGACCTCAAGGTTGGTACCCTTGCAGGAAGGCGAGGAGGGACTTGCAACCAAGATACGAGCTATGCACGGAGGACTGTATCCGCAGTCTCACCTCGTTGTTGCCGATGACCCGATGGCGGAGATTGCTGCACGTACGTGGATCGACGAGGAATCCGGTCTGGATCGAAGCGACTTACTTACCATACCATATTACAAGTGGCTGGCAAAGGCTAAACGAAAGGACATTGTTGCAGCTATGGAGAAGCTTACTAAGCACGACTTTTTGCCAAATCGAGTTGAGGACGCCGTCCCGGAAGCGGAGCCCGAGCCTCACAATCCGAGAAACTTGAATGCAAAAATCGGAGCGTGGCTAGAGGGCGTCCTGTTCCCGCACGACGGCGGCGCAGATAGACGAAGAGGCGGCTATGAGAGCGACAGAGACTTTGTATGCGGTCCAGACAACAGCGTGTCAGGCCATGACATCCCCTTCGCAGCCGACGAGAGAGCACTCCAGTCCAAGAGCCGCTACAACAAAAATCATGTATCTCTCGTTGTGGCAGGTAGAAGATTTACCTTTCTCAGCGAAGACGAAGCACAACGTGCGGCGGCCAGTTTAGCCGCCTACAAAGCAGCTGAACGGGGTAACAAAAATGCCCTCGGAAGACTTATCTCAAGCGGTGCCGACCTCAATGCATCGACGGAACTCTATGGGAGCCCGTTAGCGGTTGCATGCGCAAAGGGCCACGGTACGGTTGTCAAGTTGCTGCTTGACCACGGCGCCAGCGTTGGCGGACCAGGAACCTTCGGCTCCCCGTTGGAACTGGCGTCTGAAAATGGCCATTATGAGATTGTGTCGATGTTACTTTTGGTGCTGGTGAAAAACAACGTGTACAAGGTGTATCCCCGCGTCTCACATAGGGTATTTACTGGCACTGCACTTCATAGGGCATGTGGGAATGGACACGCGTCTATTGTTCAATTACTCCTGGACAAGGGCGCCGATGTCAACCTTGAAGGGGGGTATACCATACCGCGCTGCAGGCAGCATGCGGAAACGGACAAGATGATATCGTCAGCCTACTTCTGGATAGAGGGGCCAACGTCAACACTCCAGGCGGATTTTACCATACCGCGCTGCGGGCAGCATGTGTACAAGGCTACCATACAGTTGTCGAGCTTTTGCTGGCTCACGGGGCCAATGTCAATGCCCCAGCAGAGAACCACATGAGCGCACTCCACTCCGCTTGTCGATACGGCTACGCAACAATTGCTCGGCTACTACTGGACAAAGGTGCCGAAATAGACTTCCCGTGCCCAGCAACATTCGAACCGGAAGTCATCTCGCTTCTGGTCGAAGCCGGCGCCGAAGTCGACAATCAAGCGGTGTCATATTCAAGCCAAGGCAGGCAGGCACAAGCGAAACCTAGAAGACGCACCATTCCACAGTGGAAGAGATCCCTCATACGCAAGCAACTGAATGCGCCGCCGATTGTGCCTCCACGCAGGCTCCCGAGCTGTGGCTGTTTAGTGTGCATTATTGACCAGGCGATTCAGCCCGCCATACCCAGATATGGGCTGTCCGAAGTACGGGCCGTTGATCCGGTTCGTTATACACTCGAAGAGATGAGATCTCATGCGGCCAACTCCTGACATAGTATGATGCTTTGCGGCCGCTGTTTTTGTGTGGCCACTGGGCTCCCTATCATATTGTAGTGAACAAAAAGAAGTGGACCCCAGACTTGCTCGAAGGCTTTTCAAATAGAGGCACCGTGGGCAGCAATGCGGGTGATATCTGGTTGAAAGAGGGCACCCGGACTAATAAGAAGCTTTGTGAGATTGATTTTGAGGCCCAACCATTGATGTTCAGCCTTATCACTTGGATGGCCCTTGTATTCCTGATAATGTTTCCATGCAATTCTTTTATGGTTATGGCATGTGAGAGATGTGCTACTATGAAGATGTAGGACACTCTAGAAAATAGATAGATGCGTGAAGAAGAGAGAAACTATCTACAGATGAGACTAGCTAATGTGTGTAGGAGCAGAGGAGGTCACGTGACCTCTAACCCATTTCTGATCACGTAACCAGATGTACTTTGGTCAACGAATGGCCTCCTCCCTCCGGTGTCACTGTCTGTCTCATTTTCTATCTTCCCAGCAAGCACACGCAAAATGGGGTGCGCTGACTAAGATCCAGGATGACAAAGGGAATTGATAGGGACACTCCCACTTTTGTTCCGGACACTCCTAATTACGTAATATCCATGATTAGGTAATTGAAAACGTCATGTGATTGTATTGGTATTCATTCTCCGTATTATTTACATGACCTTCGTGTATGCCCAACTTTACCACATGCAGTGCATTTAAAGGGTGCCCTCTTCCGTTTATTCATAGTCTCGCTGTCGTCTTTCTGCTCCAATTGATCCCACTTCCGCTTTTTAGGCTTTGGAAAGGCTCTAAGAGAGGAAGGTATTCTGATTCCATTTCAGAAAGCCCAGTTCGCCAGAATGGGTGGATATCTGTCAATGGGATAGCTTTATTGCTCTCCAATAACCTAGTAATCCGATGGGCACAAGGAAGACCCATTGTTCTTGTGAACGTATTAGTACAAGGGGGTAAAGGAGCAAGATTTGTAGCTCTTCTAGCCTTTGTAACTTGCTCGCCAATCAGTCGTATCGAATAGCGGGAGGTCCTGATCACAATATTAGTATATTCACTCGGTCACGATACGTGCCACCACGGTCACAACCAAGATAGATGTACTTATCTGTGATTGATCGTATAGTAGTGACAGCGTAACCTTGCGAGAGAGCATGCTGACGGACAGAGGCAATTAATAAATCTCTGCTATCAAAAATTTGCTCAGTAGGGGGCTCCATTTCTGAAAAATCCGAGAGGCAGAGATTTGAGGAGCTAAGAAAAGAGGGAGGCGAGAGCTGGGGATTTATACTATACTATTATTATTATTATTATTATTTGTCAGGATGAGGAATTAATGTACTGGCTAGTACTGCACATGTCCAATAGAATCTGATGATTGATTGAAGGTGTGTAGATCGGTTCAGCGATCTCTGGAGTCTACTGTCCGTGCTCTGGCGTGTTATGACACCGTATCCGAATTTAGCCCGAATACCATACAAATACTAGGGGAAATTGGGTGAACGATGAACAAGCCTATCCCAAAAGGCCATAGCGGTATTTGACCGCTCCTTTAGTTTGTCACACCCCCCAGCGTTCGCACAATTCCAACCTCTTCTTGTTAATCTAGCAGATTTCCAATATCCTCAATGCCCATCATTTGAACGAATTCTGCATGCTTCTGACGTGGCAATAGCTTGGTGAGTCCGTCCGCAGCCATACCCTTCGTCTCAGTCCATTTGATGAGAATCCTGCCTGCCTGGACCTCCTGACGAAGCCAGAGGTGGTGTATATCAACATGACGTAGCTTCGTCCGCAGCTGAGGAGCTTCCTTGGTGAGAAGCCGAATTGTCTGTTGATTATCACATCGGATAGCAAGCTCGTGCTTTGGATCAAAGCGAACAGCCTCAAAGAGGCGTTTCCACATGCTCATAGTCCTCGCAGCCTCAGAGATCGCTAGCAGCTCCGCTTCGGTTGTGCTAGTAGTCACCGTGCGCTGTTTGCCAGCTCTCCAGTCAACAGGTCCTCCAAAGATCTTGCAGATATATCCCTCCGAGCTCTTCCGGTCAGGGTTATCGGCGAACGAGGCATCACTAAAGAGAGTAACGGCTTCATCCTCCTCGGATTGGCGTGGGCGATAAGTGAGGGCGTGGAAGCGTGTGTGATAGAGGTATGATATCACGCGGTTGATGGCTTCTAGATGGTCCGGACCCGGATTCGTGAGGAATTGAGCTAATGTGGAGGTTGCTTTGGCTGCATCTGGCCGTGTGATGGTGGTTGCATATTGAGCGGAGCCGACCTTCTCCTGATACTCCTTAATCCGTTCACTTGTGGCTTGCCCAGTATACGGCTTTAATGTAGCTGGCGCAAGGGGTGTATCAAAGCGACGATGGGTGGTAAGGTGATATCTGCTTGCCATAGAGGAGATGTATGAGTCCTGACAGAGCCAGAGGGCCATCTGCTGTCTATCACGGACTATACGAATCCCAAGGAACCATGAAGCTTCACCCATGTGTCTCAATTCCCATGCGGTGTTAAGCTTTTCTCTGATCTCAGCCGCGCGCTGGCGCTGAGATGGGTGATTGACGACAATTATGTCGTCTACATAGAAGAACACAATGATACCGTCTGCTGCGAAGAGACAGAGGTCTTCTTGAACGACTTTGAGACCTAGTTGGGTCAAGATCCTTGAGGCCTCGCGCTGCCAGAGCCTCGGAGATTTCCGTAGGCCATAGAGAGCTCTCAGTAGCTTCCAGCAATAGCCAGACTGCCTAAAACCCTCGGGCATCTCTGTTATCACCGTTTCGTCTAGCAAGCTATTTAGGAAGGCGTTGACAGCATCAAATTGATGTGTATCAAGGTCAAACGCAGGGACCAAGGCGAGGACGGCGCGGGCCGTCCGTGCGGCGAGTGTAGCTGAATACTTCTCTTCTGTAGAGAGTTTCTGGAGGTCTCCTCGCACACAGATTCTCGCCTTTAATTTCACGAGATATCCGTCACTATCGAATTTATAGTTGAAGACCCACTTCAATGGGAGGACCTGCACGCCACGGTCGTTCGGACGCCGTATAACCTCAAAAGTGCCCTTCCGTTCGATGGTTTTGACCTCAAGTCCAGCAGCTGCTAGGAAGCCTTCGTTAAACGGGTGATTCAACATCTCTCTCCAAGATTGAGGCTCTGGGGGTAGATCATCGCGGTGTGTTCTCGTGTGTGAGTAGGATCCGTTGAGGCCAGTTGCGAAGGCAGCGAGTACACCCTCTTCGTCGTCGTCCACTGAGAAGGCTAGATTACTAGTGTCTCTGGAACTTCGCCTGCGTGAGCCAGACACAATGTTGCGAGATGAGATATCTCCCACGATGTCTCTAGGTGCCGTACGAGGCTCTGAGGCTTGCGCTGGCTGAACGGGAGGCGTGGGTGACGGTGACATCATTTGTTGAGTCTCCACTAGTTGCGAAGTAGCTTCTTTCTCCTGGGAAGGCGTATCCAAGCTCTGTGGCTCCGTCACCTGCGAGCCCGCGTTGACTGGTTGAGGAATATCCAGGTTTATTCCGGAGGCAAAGGTGCCGTGGTCGATATCCTCATTTTCTTCAACAACCCATGGCATAGACTCTAGGATGTCACTGATAGACTCCTTCTCTAGCTCTCGAGCGTTGAAGAACACATTTTCATCAAAGACAACATCTCGTACTGATCGTACGGATCCTCTACGTGGAAACCATACCCTCCAGATATTCGATGCTTCATAGCCGACGAGGTAGCCTATCTCGGCACGTGGCTCCATCTTCGCGGCGTTCGGAATACCTTGCTTCCGCACATACGCTCGGCAACCGAAGATCCTTAGATTCGCGAGATTCACACGCTGTTGTGGTTGATTAAGGAAAGCCTCTTGATAAGGGACTATCCACTGGCCGTTTGGTAGCTTTGTGGGCGATCTGTTGATGATCCATACAGCGGCTTTGACAGCTTCAGGCCAAAGACTCTTCGGGAGGCCTGCATCGGCTATAAGAGCGCGAGCCATGGTGATTATCACCCCCCAGATCGCTCTGCGAAGCCGTTCTGCTCTGGAGTGCCCACAACACTATGTTCAATGATGAATCCTTCATTCAACAGAAAGTCCTCTACTGTGCGACCAGCAGATCGTTCGTTATCATATCGGAATGCACGTATGGGAAGATTCCACTGCTTCTTAGCTAGTGCAACAAACTGACTAACCGCGTCTTGGCAGCCATTCTTCTTCTCATGTGTATAGGCCGCGTGGAGACGAACACCTTCAAGGTAAAAGTGCGTCAACCAGCGGTCTCCGTTGTAGCCTGGGTCGATTTGAACAAGGTCGAAGTGGATACGTCCGTATTTTCCATACGGCGTGCCTGTTGCCCGCCGAGAGATCTGACGCTTAGCCTTGGTCAATTGACAGACCTCGCATCTCTCAGGGTTATCGTGTTGATTATCCTCGCATATTCCGTCGATTTTGACCCCATCAACCATCTCCGGTAGCTTCTCTAACTTTTGATCAAAGGCGTGGCCCAACCGACGATGCCAGCGCCTCGCTGAAGCCACTGAGAGGTGAGGCTTCTCCGAATGCCGTCCGGCAAAAGCTGATTGGCGGTTCGGGCTGTAGATGACTGTGTAGAGGCCGTGATATCTCTCGACCTCAAGAACAGCTTCATTGCCTTTGAAGACTGCTTTTTCATCAGATTTGAAGCAGAAGCCCTTGTCCTCGATTACAGAGAGTGAGATCAAGTTTGTATGGAAGCCGGGTGAGTACCACACGTCATCTAGGATGACAGGCACCGCAGCACCTGTATGAGGGTGTCTTCCGGTGATTCTGACTTGCCCATAGCCTATCATCGGTGTCTCGGTTTTACCCGTCTTAACAGTGCTTTTTCGCGGCGCATATGTCAAGAATTGCTCGCGATCGTTGCAGATGTGAACAGTGGATCCAGAATCCAGAATCCAGCTATCTTTGAGAAGGTCTTCGTCCATCGCTGATGATGCGATAGCTTGAGTATCATTGGCGAAGAACACTAGGGGCTGACCCTCTTGTGGAGCCGTACCGGCTAGGTGAGCTGATTCGGCCTTCTTCTGCTGTATTTTCACGATTTTCTCTTGATCTTGAGGACTCATCTGCTTGATGTTTTCAGATATCCGTTCAATAGTGCCCTCTTTCGGTTTCCATCCTTCTGGTCGAATAGATTCATTAAGATAGAAGCACTTAGAGAAGTGATGTTGGGGATGAGTGTTACCACACGGACATTTCTTCCGGTAGGTCTTCTCCACAGGCTTAGCCTCAGGTTCACCGTTCAAAGAAGCAAGAGCTATCTTTGGCTGCTTCCGTCCGCTAGAGATCGCTAGATCCCCCCGGCGGCTACGGTAGCTAGCAATAACCTCATGAAACGTGACAGATTTCTCTTGATCTGCGAGCCTTTCGCGCCAGGCTGTGCACCAAGTGTCATCAACTAATTGAATGGCGTCCAAGAAATCTCGAATCGCGAAGTGATCTCCGTTGGAGCAGTCGGGTATGCCTGCGATCTTGCCCTCTTCAAATAGGCTAACCCACTGAGTTAACCAGTGGTTAGTGTCGCCTTGAGGCTTCTGTCTAATCATTTCTCTCCAAGCTCGGCGAAGTTGTTGCTGGCGGCTTTGAGGCTTTGGTTTAAACGTTTCAGATAACTTTATTAGCTTCTTCCGCGGTGAGTCCTCTCCCACAACAAGATAGTGGTGTTCCGTAGCTAACGAGCGGGTGATGAGGTTATTCAACCGTGACATAGTCTTCAATAGCCTCTGCCGGCGCTGGTCGCGGCGATCATACGCTTGAACGGCGAACGTATATCTCTTGAGTTCGGCATCATCTAGCTCCATGATATCTCTCTCCCGTTGGCGGTTATCCCGTGGTATCGAGGGCTCTTCCTGAGCCTTAGGCACCTGCAGGACCTCGTCATCCGCCTTCTCCGGATCAAGGTAGTCCCATACATCTTCTGCAACAGCCGCTGACTTGATATGGCCTATCCAGACCCTCCACTGCGCTTCTGATTGAAGCTTTTGGTCAAGCGGGACCTGCATCAGATCTTCCCTCGTGATATCGGACATCTTCGCACAAGATGTAGCTCAGATACTCAGATTCTCCTCTTATGTCGATTCCAAAGGCGGCTTTTCTTTGGTGCGGATCTTCGTGCGCTGAACGTAAGAGCTCACAAGAGGTGACTGTCGTTCAGGGGTATCCGACCGAGCGCTTCAGGGGGTTCGTAGACTGCAAGATACAGTGCAAGGTCGTCTAATATCTCTCAGACAGTCTGGCAACCGGGCTCATAACTGTCAGGATGAGGAATTAATGTACTGGCTAGTACTGCACATGTCCAATAGAATCTGATGATTGATTGAAGGTGTGTAGATCGGTTCAGCGATCTCTGGAGTCTACTGTCCGTGCTCTGGCGTGTTATGACACCGTATCCGAATTTAGTCCGAATACCATACAAATACTAGGGGAAATTGGGTGAACGATGAACAAGCCTATCCCAAAAGGCCATAGCGGTATTTGACCGCTCCTTTAGTTTGTCATTATTGATTATTTAACGTCGCCAGCAGGTCACTTGGCAGGTGACCCACTACCTCCCGAGGGGTAACTGGACGTGCTACCTAAGCGAGGATTTACTACAACTAGCTAACTAGCTCAACTAAATACACGCTGGAAAGCAGCAAAATTGAGCACTACGTGCTGAGAAAGGGTTAAAGAAGCGCCAGGCACTATCCTGGCCTGGGTTCCTGGGGGTGGACTGACTACCCGCGGATGGGAGAGGGTGCCGGCCTCTCCCATCTGCGCAGAGGTGAAGACTGTTGCGCTATGCGGCGCATGTTTGTGCCCGATTTGGGCAGATGTCCTTGAAGAAGAACGTTTCTTGCACGAAACGGCCGAATTCCTCGGCCCCAGCAGCTGTGCTCAGTATCCAGTTTATCCTTGCAGATGGGCTGGCCTTTCGGCCTTTCCATCGATCCTTCCAGCGTTTCCTCGCAGGCGGGCAGAAGAAGAAGTGGACGGGGGATTTTGGCTTACCGCAGGAGCAGGTCGTAAGGGAGTCCCTGTGATGGAACCTCTCGTGGTATACCTGGAAGTCACCATGGCCAGTCCGTGCGGCTAGCAGCCGGCCGAGCACCCCGCGGGGAAGCCTGTGTTCCCGAGCGCGGCTGCTCTTGGTGTGAGGTTGGATATTTAGGTCTCGGTATGCCTGAGGTGCGTCTCTGGTATACGCGGCACGCGTTGCCGTGCGGATATGTTGTTTTGCTTCGCGCACAAGGTAAGATGGGGAAGGGGGAATATGGGAGCCGTCTAACGCTGCGCCCCTCTTTGCTAGCTCATCGGCAGTCTCGTTCCCTGCTATCCCAGAGTGGCCTGGCATCCAGCGCACCTCCACGGGCGTGCGGGGTGTGCTGAGGATATAGGGAGCGGATTCCCACTGGGTAGTAAGCTTTTGGAATAAGTCCGTGAGTTTTCGTCTGTGTGGCGCAGGCCTCCCGTCCGCGAGTAAGCTAGCGGCAGCGAGGTTATCGAGGAGGACAACGAGGCCGGTGGAGTAGCTTGCACAGGGTAGGTTGACAGCCGCCTGGAGGCCCTCTACTGCGCCCATAATCTCGGCGTCGTACACCTCTGACTGGGAGCCAGCTGGCCCATACCCTTGGGTGATAGGGATAGAGCCGTAGTAGACCACGAACCCGTACCCAGCCCCTTGGCCAGTGCGTGAGCCGTCCGAGTAGACCGTTAACCGTAGCGGTGCTGGTGCGTATGCGGCCTTGTTTGCGTCTGTAGTAGGTAGTATGCGGAGCGGTGGGAGACGTGACTCTACACGTGCTCTCTCCGGTGCCGGCGTTGGGACGCGTTGGAGGATTCTGGTGAGTCTCGTCCCTTTAGTATCGTATGCATCGATGGTAACTCTCGCGATCGGGTGCCTAGCGTCTAGGCTCGCGTATCGGACTGCTGCTCTTTGGAGGACGCCGTCGAGGAGGGCTTCCGGGTAGGGTAGGTCTGCCTCGCGGAGTAGCGCTGAGGTAGGGGTTGTTCTGTAAGCTGGAAGAATGGCTAGAGCAGCGAGCCGGAGTAGGGAGCGTAGGGAGTCGATGAGGCCCTTCTGCCCTCGGCCGGTGTAGAAGACCTCCGCGCCGTATAACGCTGTCGGTATCACGCACTGAATGACCGCTGCGCGCATAGAGGCAACCGGGCATCCTCGCTGGGTGTTGCTGAGTTTCCGGAGATGTAGTGCGAGCTGCTTGCCCCGGCTGAAGACCCAGTTGATGTGTGGTCGGTAGGTGAGCTTGCTGTCCAGTAAGATGCCTAACCAACGGGTATATGGGGATGGCTTAATCTCGCCTACCCCTGGTAGAGTGACCGTAGGCGCGGACAGCTTCCGCTGCTTCGAGAAATGTTGTATCTCCGTCTTCTCTAGGGAGAATGGGAGACCTGATGCTGCTCCAGATAGGGTGATCGTTTTGTATACTTCTACTAGCTGCTGGGATGTCTCCTCGAGGGAGTCCCCGACGAACAGTAGCCCTAGGTCATCCGCGTAGCAGAAGGAGTTATCTTGCGAGGAGACTATCTGCGCCGCATATAGGAGGAAGAGGACTGGGGACAGCGGGGACCCCTGTGGGAGGCCTCCTCTTATTTTTGCGGTGGCGGTAGCGTCTCCGACCTGGACCGAAACGGAGCGGTCGGATAGCCAGTCGTGTATCCAAGAGGTAAGGCCTTCGTCCCATCCCTGGAGGCGTAGGTGGGATAGGAGCCGCTGGTGATCAACCGCGTCGAAGGCCCCTTTCACGTCCAGTAGTAGTAACGAGGCCACCTTCTTCTGCTGGAAGGCTCTCTCCACCCTATGGGTAAGGATCTGGACTAGGTCTACGGCTGAGCGGCCGGGTAGGGCGCCGAAGTGGCACGATGTTAGTAGTTGTGCTTGAATGGTCTGAACCGTGAGTCGCTGCGCGATGAAGCGTTCTAGGCCTTTGCCTAGGGTGGAGAGTAAGCTAATGGGTCGCCAGGACTTTGGCTGGGTGAGGTCCCTCTTCCCCGGCTTTGGTAGCATAACGACCTTTGCAGATTTGAAGGTTTGCGGGAAGTGCCCTTCTGTTAGGCTGCGGCGGAAGAGTGATGTGACTAGGTCGCCCACGACCGACCAGAGTTCCCTCCAAACTGTCGTGGCAAGTCCGTCCTCTCCAGGGGCAGACGGAGTGGGCGCGCAGAGGGCGGCCCAGCAGTCCTCCTTCGTTGGTAGTCCTACTGGATCTCGGGGCTGAGTCGGGGGACCCTCCTCCTGCTGGTGCGGGAGAGAGGTTCCCTTCTCTAGGAGGTGAGTGAGGAAGGTGTCCGCCTTGCCCTGTGGCGTCGTGACCCGGTCGTTCCGGATATGTAAAGGGGGAGCGGAGAGCTGGTCTGCGCGCCTGTGCAATCTGGCGAGTGTGAAGGCGTCTGTGGGTGAAGTGGCGTGCTCGATCCGCTCCTTCCAGTGGCTGGCCTTCGCGCGGGAAACCGCTCTCCGAAGTGGCAGGTAGTCGGGCGCCTGCTGCTGCCGTGTCTGTCGTAGCAGGTCTGTGAGCTCTGACGTCCACCAAGGGGTACGTGGGAGCCCGCGGGTGTTATATTTAGATGCGCCTCGGATGGCTTCTTGCACGGTGTTGACTAGTTTTTCGGCTATGTCGTCAACAGGAAGGTCCTTATGCGGCAGGTTGAGTAATGCCTTAGCCTTCTCCCAGTCGGTCGAGCCCAGCTTCCGGCGGGGTGGGGGTTTCCTGCCAGTCTACTGTTATTAGTATCGTTGCGTGGTCACTCGTGGAAGAGAGGTGGTCCTCTGCTGTAGCTTCCACGGGGATGTCCGAGAAGACGAGGTCTATGGTGTTTGGCCCGCGGGTAGGGGTGCCGGGCTCGATGCAAAGGGCTAGTCCGTTGGCCTCCAGCCACTCTATAAGCGCTGTTGCTCCTGGGGTAGTGTTGTGAGCCTCCGTCTCCGGCTGCCAGAGTGGGTGGTGGGTGTTGAAGTCCCCGGCTAGGATGGTGTTCTGCGGGGGGGGAAGTACTGCAGGAGCGTGTGGAGGGTAGATGGTGTTGAACTGGATGTGTTTGGGACCACTAGATCCTTTGGGGGGCGGTAAGTGTTGATTATTGTGAGTCCGGATATGCAGACTGCTGCGATATCGGGCGAATCGGGGTGTGGGAGGGGGAACGCGGGGAGGTCCCTGCGTACGTATGTCAGAGCTCTAGGCCTAGCTCCCCAGCGGGTGGTAGGGCCAAACAGCTGGTAGCGTGGGTGAGTCTTCGTGAGTTGCCTCGTCATATCAGTCCAGGGCTCCTAGACTAGGATGACGTCAGCTTCGTACGATAGAAGTAGGTCGTGGGGACATTAGCCTGTAGTATTCTCATAGCTCTGCGTTGGGGGAGAGTTGGTTCGCGAGCTCCTGGGAGAGCTGGCTTGACGGTTGATAGTGAAGACCCGGGTTAGTCGCTCGTGGGTCAGGGGTGCGTCTAGCTTGTTGTTGCTGGAAGGCGGTCCGGCCGGCCTTACGAACGGCAGTCAAGGCAGCTTTCGAGAGGCGGACGATAGCCCCTTTCTGTGTATAGGGCCTAGCGGGGCATTTTGGGTAGTCCGCAGCATGCGGTCCATGGCAGTTAATGCATTGCGCGCGGCAGGTATGTTCTGGCTTGGACGATCCGCAGGAGACGCAGCGTTCGCTAGAGCGGCAGGCCCGCGTGTCATGGAAGCTGTGGCAGCGGGTACACTGTAGCGGCCGTTGCTTTGGGCGAGTAGGCCTAGAAAGGCCGGAGGCGCCGAATAGCTGAAGCATGTAGCGGAGCTTCTTTGGGAAAGCTATAACCGCTGTGACAGAGTCTGCTTGGATCTGGTGGTTAGAGAGCTTAGTCGTGAGCGGCTTTTGGCCGGTTATTCGCTCCGCTTCTACACTAATATCGCTGACTGTAGTGGGCATCCAGCCATTATCGGGGGTCCAGATTCGCTGTGGGATACGGGAGACCACGACCTGGTGGTATTCCGTCGCGGCCTCGAAGTAGCCGTCCCCGGCTAGCTGTTTAGCCTGGGAAGAGAGTAGGAAGGTCGTGCCTTCTTTGGTTGCGGATATAGCGTAGCCTGTAGGGACAGTTTGTACTCGTGTGATTTCGCCGGGGACTTTGCATGCTAGTGTGACTCGGACGCCATGGGGCCCAATATCCCGTAAGCTGGAGGAGCTTGGGAGTCGGAGGAAGATGCGGGAGTCGCTTTCTTTCGTCTGGCGCTGCCGCTGCCGGGTTCGGTCACGTTGGTTCGGCGCCGTGGTTTGCCAGGCTTCCTGGCCGGGCACGGGACTGGCTATCGAGGCCCAGGGCTGGGCCTGCGGGATCTGAGGTGCTCGCTGGGGGGCAGTGGGTGCCGTGGGCTGGGGAAGCGGTGGAGGACCTGGGGGCCTTGCTGCGGTACATCGCGGCGGGCTAGGGAGATGAACTTCGTTGCGAGTGCGCTGGCGAGCTCGCGTGGGCGGCCCTGTAGGGAGGAGATAGCCGAGTCAAGCGCTTCGGCGAGGGAGGTTGTTGCTAGCTTCCAGTCGCTCAGGAAGAGGAGTTGGTCGTCCGCAGCTGCGCTGACCTGTTGGCGGACGGAAAGGGTGCGCGTCGAGGCCGGAAAGGCTGCCGGCGCCGTGGCAGGTGGCTTGCTCGGTGGAGAGACTGCTCTACGTTTCAGGGAGCTTCGAGGGAAGGGAGTAGGCGTGGCAGGGTCCGAAGGGGGTTCCGAGGAGTCGAAGAGGTGCGGAGTTCCCGGTCGAGGGTCGGCCGCAGGGGGGTCGTCGACCTCCATCTGGCGGGGCCGAGCGGTAGTAGGGATAAGTAGTGTATGTGAACTCTGTTGGAATATCCCGGTTGCTGGGATGTGTGTGTGTGTGCCGCCTGTTGAAATATCCGGGAATTGATAGGGACACTCCCACTTTTGTTCCGGACACTCCTAATTATGTAATATCCATGATTAGGTAATTGAAAACGTCATGTGATTGTAACGTGATTCCCGGCTACGCGGTCACCCCATCAAAAATTCAAATCTTCTACATTTCTTAAACTCCATTTACACCACCAAAACACCATTAAATTGACAATTTAAATATCCTGCGGGCATTTAGAACACCTATGCCCTTTTCCTCCGCATTTAGAACACGTGATTTGCCGACGCACAGGGGGCAAAACCGGTAGTGAAGGTTCAACAATAGGTTCTTGGGCAGCTACAGGACCAGATATATATTCACCTACACCACCTCTTTCTCCACCAACAGGATTTATGATATCCAAAACTTCGGTTAAACTGCCTTCATGAGCAATTTGCCTCTTAGATCTAGCTCTTTTTTTCACCTGTTTTCTGTTTGCCTCCCGTAAACGCTTGATTTCATCCTTCATTAAGATTTGCGAATGAAGCATCTTGACAGTCATGTTATAATACTGCTGAAGATCCCGTTTGGTGGGCGAAGAGATCTTATCTGTGACTGAACTTAGACCAGAATCGAGCCTAGATTTCCGTTGTTTGAGTTGTTTGGTTGTCCAAGGGATACCGGTCGAGATATTGCTATCAGAAGTTGAACCTTGTGAGGTTGGTCGATTCGGGAGGGGTGGGGATTGAAGACGAATATTGAGCTTTTCTAGCACACGATCCAGGTCTAGAGGAACTAAACCAGTAGCCGCGAAGGCATTCTGAATCGTAGTCTCTTTAAAAGCGTGCGGTCGTGTTTGTGGAAAGATCTCTAGGAAGTCTTCTTTCTCAATAGAATCGATACCCAATCTCATATACTCCGCAACTTCTGTGCCGTAAAACTTCTTTAAAACAGCGAAACAGCCAACATCCAAAGGCTGTAAAAGATGAGAGGCATGCGAAGGCATACAAATTGGAATGATGTTGTTTTTTTTGCAGATCTGGTCGAATCTAGCCGTAAGATGGCTGTCGTGGCCATCAAGGACTAGAAGTCTGAATTTCCCCTTTGTCTGGCTTGTTGTATGTGGAATGAAGTGCTTTTGAAGCCAATCCAATCCAATATCATTGCTAGTCCAGCCTTTAGGACTAACATTGAGAGCCCACTGCTTTGGAAGGTCATCGAACCATCTAGCCATAAAGTTTTTGCCCTTAAAAATGATATATGGTGGAAGGGCCCTCCCAGACGCGCAGATAGATTCGATAACAGTGACCCATTCACGATTCCCAGCCTGTAGAACACCTCTCCGACCATGAAAGAATGCTTGCGTGATAACCCTTGTAGTCGCATTTATCCCCATAGCAAAGCCAGATTCATCAAAGTTATAGATATCATCCGAAACAATGCCGTTTTCTCGGATTGTTTTCTCAACCAGCTTAAACCACTCAATTATTATGGCTGGGTCCTCATTCTGGGCCCTCTTGTAGTCATATTTGCGTGAGAAACGAGTAGTAAGGCCTGGATGCCTTTTAATAAACTCAGTTGGCCAATTTTTACCCACAGTTGGAGGGGTTGAAGAGGAGCTAGAATCGCGGGATTGCAACAGTAAACTAGCCATATCTCTTAACATAGAGATTGTGAGAGCTGCACCTCTCTGATCCATGGAAACTAACCAATCCTGGATAGATTCCTCTTCAAGCTGAGTAAATTTATACAGAGCTGAGCGAGTATCGGACTGATTTGTTCGCCCTATGATCCTAGCACCGAGTGTTGTACGTGGAACATCAAAAGACCGAGCAGCAGCAGCGACCGAAGTAAATCTGCCATTCTGAATAGCTTTGATAGCTAATAGGATACGGCCCTCCTGTTCAATAGATTTTTGTGCTTTTTGCGAGCGTTTTGGAGGCATGGTGACTGCTTGAAAACAGAGGGTTACTACGGAGACGAAAATTATGAGGGGGTGACCGCGTAGCCGGGATGACCGGCTAGCCGGGAATCACGTTATTGGAATTACCACAGCAACATCATTCTAAATGTCATACCATAGTATAGTATAAATCCCCAGCCCTCGCCTCCCTCTTTTCTTAGCTCCTCAAATCTCTGCCTCTCGGATTTTTCAGAAATGGAGCCCCCTACTGAGCAAATTTTTGATAGCAGAGATTTATTAATTGCCTCTGTCCGTCAGCATGCTCTCTCGCAAGGTTACGCTGTCACTACTATACGATCAATCACAGATAAGTACATCTATCTTGGTTGTGACCGTGGTGGCACGTATCGTGACCGAGTGAATGCTCCTGATGGAGCGAAACGAAGAACGACAACTACACGGCGGATTGGCTGTCCATTTAAGCTATACGGGAAAATGCTTTTTGATGATAAGTGGGAGTTACAGGTCCAAAACCGGAATCATAATCACACAGCTGATGATAATATGATCGGACATTCAGCTGCCCGTCGGCTCACAGAGGAGCAGCTTCAAAAGGTCCTACATCTATCGGAAATTGGATCTAACCCTCGTGGCATCCTAGCTCTAATCAAACGAGAGCATCCTAATGCTTTAGTTACCCCTCGAGACATCTACAATGCGCGAAGTGCTTTACGAAGGCAAAAGCTCGGTAATAGCACTCCCCTTGAGTTTCTACTGAAGACTTTGAAGGAAAATCACTGGAAATATGCTATTAAGCAGGATAGCGAAGGACATGTCCTCTTTTTTATGTTTGCACACCCAGAGTCAATCAAGTATGCTAACCTATACAACAGGGTATTCGTCCTAGACTGCACCTATAAGACAAACCGATATCGTATGCCTCTATTGCATATTATTGGTGTCTCGCCATCAAATTCAACCTTTAGCGTTGCATTTTGCTTTATGCAGAATGAACAGGAAGAGAGCTATATTTGGGCTTTAAAGACTTTTTTCTCATTTCTCGACCCCCTCTCTTTCTATCCAGTTCTTTGTACAGATAGAGACCTTGCATTATTAGGTGCTGTCAAGGTCGTCTGTCCAGATTATCCCCATCTTCTTTGCATCTGGCATATTAACAAGAACGTAACGTCTAATACGAAGCAGCATTTTACGACGAACGCCGAATATCAAACATTTCAAAAATCATGGAATCAGCTAATTTATTCTACTACAGAGAACGACTACAATTCGAGGCTATCAGAGTTCGAGAAGCGATATCAGACCTCCCCTTCTCTTCGATATGTTAAGGAGACATGGCTAATTCATAAAGAAAAATTTATAGTTGCATGGACACAACAATGCCTACACCTCGGTAATTCTGCGACCTCTCGAGTTGAAGGCTCACATGCCTTTTTAAAAAAGCACATCGGTGCTTCGACAGGGGATATGTTGATCGTATTTGAAAGGATTTCACAGGCTTTACAAACCCAGCATGCTACGCTTGAATATGATTTTAGACGAGATCAGATTGAGAGGCCAGTAGTAACCTTACATCAACTTTATACTAATATTGTGATCAGGACCTCCCGCTATTCGATACGACTAATTGGCGAGCAAGTTACAAAGGCTAGAAGAGCTACAAATCTTGCTCCTTTACCCCCTTGTACTAATACGTTCACAAGGACAATGGGTCTTCCTTGTGCCCATCGGATTACTAGTTTATTGGAGAGCAATAAAGCTATCCCATTGACAGATATCCACCCATTCTGGCGAACTGGGCTTTCTGAAATGGAATCAGAATACCTTCCTCTCTTAGAGCCTTTGATTCCTTTTCCAAAGCCTAAAAAGCGGAAGTGGGATCAATTGGAGCAGAAAGACGACAGCGAGACTATGAATAAACGGAAGAGGGCACCCTTTAAATGCACTGCATGTGGTAAAGTTGGGCATACACGAAGGTCATGTAAATAATACGGAGAATGAATACCAATACAATCACATGACGTTTTCAATTACCTAATCATGGATATTACGTAATTAGGAGTGTCCGGAACAAAAGTGGGAGTGTCCCTATCAATTCCCAGAACAGCCGAAATCATTAGCTAATTTCACCTGCGAAATACCATTCTTGTGAGCGGATACAATAGCTGACCGTTGTATAGCAGTAAGCTGCGCCGTTTTGCTACTTTTTGCATCAATTTCCATTACAATCGGAGCAATAGGGGAGGTGTAGGAAGAAAAATAAAATGGTGGGTTGGTTGCCGGGTCAAATTGTAGTGGGGCAGTGGGTAAGAACATATGACTAGTATCTGTAGTATACGCTCCCTAGCTTCCTAATTAGGCTTAGTGCTAGTATAGACCACTAGAATATAGTATATACTAATATATACTATACATAACCATGGGGCCGTTTTAAGCCTCCCATTCACCGGTGACGGTCTTGGCGTCACGTGTATCTAAGGACACAGCCAATGTGACCTACTGCCACTTTCACTCTCTTTTTGCCCGTTGCATGGCGCCTAGCCCCGCAGCGACCTCACTGGAGCGCCGGCCGTTCCTGGTCCCACTCGTGATACTGCCGCTGCGAGCCCGTTCCAACCAGGGTCCGGAAAGAAGGAGCCATTCTGTCTCCCCTTTCAGCACCTTTTGAGCACCTTTATTCCCTAGATTCCATAAATACCGACCGCCATGACTCCCGAATTTTCATTCTTCCCGCTCGCCAGCGATCTTCTCATCATCCAATCTGTTTCTCCGGCAGAACCCTGGTGTTTCGAGTGGAATCTATACACTCTTGATCAGTTCCCTATTCCCTGCCGGACACTGCTCCCACATCATGCCTTGCCTTTCACGTCCTGATTTGTCAGACGACGAGAGCGACGCGAGCTCAGAACTGCCTGAGATCTTCTCGAACGAAGCCTCAGAAACCGATTCGGTCACCACATATTGTGATGACGAGGATGAATCGGAGTCGGAGGATGAATTTCCCATGGAAGACGAAGAGAAGCAGCTTCCACCGGAGCACTATCTCCAGGAGGCAGAGTGTCTCGATGTCTCCCAGCTTCGGCAAAAACGCTACAGCCCAAGAACCCAAGACAAACTGGATGAGACGCGGGACTATTGGGACAGGTGAGAGCGTGCCACCCCCATGGTTTCTCCAATTGCATTTGGCTAATTCAGGTTTTGCGAGGGCGGAAAGCGGGACCCGGTGGAATGTTTCTTCTGGCTCTCTGACACAGAGGAGACGATCCGTTTTTTGAAAGCTCTCTTTTCCTGGCGCTGTGATCAGCGGAGGGGGAAGAACGGGCGACACACGCCGGGACTGAAGTATAAAAGCTCGCTGGAGACATTCTGGAAATGGTGGCATCTGGTCTACAAGGCTGAAGTCGGGCATGGACTTAGTAAAGATACGATCGTCAAAATCGAGGATGTGAGTCTGCTGGTCCGCTAATCTGTCAGACTGATCTGTTTATGGCTGACAGCCCATAGGTGCTTGCGATAGTTGCGACTGAGAAAAATCTCTGCTTCGATCGGCGACCGAAAGCGACCATGTATATTGAAGATGTGGCCGAGTTTGCTCGAGTGGTACTGTCTACGACGGAGATGACTTTCCCTTGTGGCTGGTACCGGGTGCAGCTCCTCCTGTACTGTCAACTGGCCGCCATCACTGGCAGCCGGCCTGGAGCGCTCTTGAACCTTCGTTACCGGGACCTCATGTTGACCCTGGTACGAGATCCAAATGGCCACCTTCCTCGGCTTTTCATTTATATGAGACCGGAGTTCACAAAATCATTTCTTGGCAAGAAGGAATCGTAAGAATATTCCCCTAGCCCTGAATCCCTCGTTTATATCCATGGTTCTATTCACCTTGCCCTGTCGTTGTCCTTCCATTCCACTTTTACCCTCCTCACAGCGATACGAGCTCGAATCAGGTCAGCTTAGCTGATTGCAATAGGAATACCTTCCCTATCCCGGAGGTCATTTTTGATCCTACGCTGGTCCTTAGCCCGCACGTTTTCTTGTTGGGCTTGCTTTTTCGAGTCGGGGCATTCAAGACGCTTTCTAAAGACGGTCGCGTGATGAACTGTCCAGAAAATTTGTATAGTCTTCGGGTTTTGAATGGACTTGGACAGCAGGAGTTGAAGTTGAGACAGGAAATTCTTGATCAATATGTTTTTTGTCACGCATTGAGAGAACCCAATGGGATCCGAATTGCCCTGGAACAGAATCTGTCAGGCGGCTGGCTACGTTATCGTATGAAACGTGGGGGGCGAAATTACGGGCTTTGAAGAGGTCACGAAGCCCTATGGCCTCCGGTACGGCGCGGCGAAAGCATTCAATGATAGTCGTGAGTGGCCCTTGTTTAGACTCTGCGCTTCTTGACTAACAAGTCCATACTATACAGCGGATGTGTCAAATGAACTACAAAATGTGATGCTCCAGCATGCCAGCATTAACACATTTGTTCGGCACTACAGTGTTGGTATCCACGTCGATGCTCAGGCAATTGTCCGAGGCATGCCCGCTCAGAAGCAGCTCATGCGTTTTGCCTGCTCGATGAGTCGGTCTATCGATCCGCGCAGGCCATATAGGCTAGAATATTCGAGCTCTGTCAATCAAATCCCGCGTGTGATTGCCATGGAAGAGTTCAAGCAAGCACGAGAGCAGGCCCGGGACGTGAAAAGACGAACGTTTGAAAATGCTCAGTTCGCTCTCCAGCGCGAGTTTGGTGATGATCCTCCGCAGAAAGGGTCAGTTTCTCGTCGTCTGCGGAAACTCCACAGACGATGGGTACTGCAAAACAAAAAAGTGGACAAGTTACGCAAGAAATTTGAACGTGCAGAGGAGCAGTATAATCTTGCTGTACGTGATTTGCGAAACGAAAAAGGACGACAACGCAATCGCTTGATTCGTGAGAACTTGGAGCGGTATAAGAACGAGCAACCGGTGATCGACAGCGAACGGCAACTATCCGGAAAGATGGTCGACGAAGAAGTAAAGGTCGCTTTAGAAAGCACTGGCTATATGACACCACAGCATATGACCCTTATCGACACCGTCCTGACGATGCCGGGTACGACGGTTGAGAAAGAGTATGAGCGTCGAATTGCTGCAATCAATGCAGTGATTGCGGTATGTGATGCAGAAGAGGGCGCACCCTCGCGGCCTCGTGTCACCCAAAAACGCTCCGCCGATGCTGCCAATATGCCACCGGCTGCCGCTTTGCCTAAAAGGCAGAATCCAATCCCTTCACATAAGAGCGACGATATGTTTTCCCAGGCTATCGCTTCGGTTTGCGTCAAATCTCCAACAGAGAGACCAACGATCTGCTTTATTTGCCTTGGTAGCCCTATGCTGCCACAAAGCGATCGCATGAGAACGTACAAGAATTCTGGATCTCTGAGCCGACACTTCGTCAACAAGCATATCAAGCCGTTTCCAAATGACATGCGTTTTGGGTGCTCTATCTGCGGAGAGAAGTTGGAGTCGAAGTCTGCGCTACTGAACCATGCAGAAAGGGTGCATGGAACCGTCTCCCGCTCTTCTAGAACAGCTCTTGGTATGGCATAAATACGAAATAGTCTCCGTTTTCTCACTTCATGAAGATGTTACCGGAGTTCAGGGTTATGGGTGCGATATTTGTTATCTCAGCTGGGATTTATAGACTTATTTAGGTTTTGGTAGAGCTGGTCTTTGCCGTGTGACAAGAATGTTTGATCTTCGCTTCCACGAATCTGGTCAATCCTGGGTAAAAGACACTTTGTAGTCACGGGGTATGACCACATGTACTGTATCACCTTTCTCGTGTTGTGGTCTTCATTTCTTTACTGGGTGTAGCCGTTCTAAGCATAAGAGTCGTCTCCTGGCAGGCCGCGTCTTCCCTTTATTTTCCCGAGCCACAGTTTCCTTGGAGCCTCAAACTAGAGATAGGCCATGTTATTGACGGACCGACGAGGCCACCAGTGCACCTGTCTGTGCTTTATTTCTAGGCCTTTGGTATGGGTTGCCTTCTATTTTTGAAGCCTATAAGCAGTCGCGAATTACGAGTCCGAATCATGAAGCTGTAGTATGGTATCACAGCTAAGAACTCGATTGCAAGCGACAAGTAAAACGGGCATCGGTCTCCGGGCGTCTTCCAAATGGCGTTATACACCCCGTACCTTACGGACAATTTAACGTTGTTTGCCCGGATACTGGAAACTACTAAATTGTAGTATTGAGGACGACCAATTGATAATAAGATAATTGACCTGATGATCTATTGTAATGATCCACAGTCTATGTAATCGCGCCAGGCCCATCAACACCCTCCTGGTATTGAAAGCTGTGTGTGGCACGATTACTGTGTGTTACAACACAGTTATTCCGGTATGGTGAATATTACCATACAAAACACACAGAGATATTCGCCGGTAATGAATAACCAAGTGTGACAATACGGTGCGGGGAAATCACAGAATTTCCCCCATCGGAGTTGACTCCCAATTTTGCCACCATTGAGCCAACCCTGAGCCAACCCTGAGCCTACCCTGAGCCTACCCTGAGCCTACCCTGAGCCTACCCTGAGCCTACCCTGAGCCTACCTGAGCCTACCCTGAGCCAACCCTGAGCCTACCCTGAGCCCACCCTGAGCTCACCCTGAGCTCACCCTGAGCCAACCCTGAGCTCACCCTGAGCCAACCCTGAGCCTCGGTGCTCAAGGAAGACATAGCAAATACAAATTCCTATGTACTCACTGTTCAAGTTCAACATTTTAGATTCTGTTTTGTTTTGGGATTTTTTAGAACGTGTGGTTGTATTTTGTCTCTGTCAAGACTATAATGTTCTGTCAGAAATATGGTGGATCTGCGTGTGGATTTCTGGGTATTTACCCAGAATATCTTACGACATCAGATCAGACACATCACATAAAAGTGCATATTACTCTTTGTCAGCATATCCTACAAAATTGTCAAGTTCATAGTTTTTAGTTAGAGAGAGAGTTTAATATTACCGTTAGGAAACCCATACAATGTTGGTCACTAATTTCTGTTAGTTATGAGCCCGGAATCGCTTCTAATTTAACCCATTTTGTTAAACCAACCTTTGTTTCGACGTTGCAAGCCAATTGATTCTTGTGATCCCTGCCTGCCGCCGAACCCCTGAACCCCTGAAATCATCAATCGGAAATCGGTCAACCACAATATGGGAGACACCACTCTCTCCGCGATATCGTCCTCTCGCGTTATTCTGAGAGACTCAACAAACTGGGAAGCCTGGCTGTCCACCATCAGAGGGATTGCCGAGCAATATAACGTGTGGGAGTTGTGTGACCCGGACAAGAAAGATCAACCTGTTGTTCCAGATGAACCAGAGCCTCCATCAATTGAGGCTGCTAAGAACGACGATCCGGTCAACTGGTACAAGATCGTCAAACTACAACAAGTGGAATGGTCAACCCAAGTTAGCAAGCATGGAAAGAGGATCCTAGGCCTCAACTGTGTGGCAACGGCTATTAAAAACAGCCTACACCCTAGTTATCAGACCTTTATCACCCATGATACCCCATGGAAACTGCTTCGCAACCTGCGACAGAGATTTGCACCTGAGTGCGATCCTACCTATGCAGCCAAACTGCGTCAGCAATGGAGAAATTTAGACCGAGGTCTAGACAGAAACACCGACATTGAGAAATGGTTATTGAATTGGGAAACGATCCAGGTTCGGTGCGCGAGGGCTGGCATGAGCGAAGCCAATGACGCCACCGTGCAATTCCTAGATGCCATCTCAACTATGTCGCCTGGCTTTCATGAAACCTGGACGCTCAGATTGGAAGACAAGAATGTTGAATTACCCGAGCTGCTCACTAGGTACAAAGCCCATTGGGCAATCAGCCACGGCAAAGCCAGTACCCAGAGAGGTATCTCCAAAGCTGTATTTTCGACCTGGCAAGGCCATGAGGAAGCACAACCAACAAACGTCAAGAAAGGGGCGGCTATACCAGCCACCGAAAAGCCATTTTGGCAAAGGCCATGCCCATGCGGATCGAAGGCCCGCCACCCTGCCTGGAAGTGCTGGGCTGCCTATGAATCAGGCAGACCGGAGGGTTACAAGATCATCCCAGACCAGAAACAAAAGTGGGATAGAGCTATGATGGCTGATCCTACATGGAAAGACTTTATTGCGAAGAAAAGATCAGAAATGGGCATGACGCAGAAACAGGCGCACTCTACCATAATTGACGACCAAGCATGTGGCTTCTTCTCAAAGGTACCTCCCCAGGAAGTCGCACAGAAAGCCGAGCAAGCCGCCATGTCAACCCAAACCAAGCAAGCGACCATACCTATGGAGAAGCAATGGGTTGTTGACACCGGGGCGGATACACATGTATGCAACGATCGGAGCAAATTCGTTAGTTTCCGAGAAAGTCATGGCAACATCAAGGTCGGCGATACGCGCACAAGAATCGATGGTGTTGGCACCGTCGTTATCTATGGGATCAATCCAACTACTGGCCAACCAAAACGACTAGAGTTGTATGAAACCAGGTACTCACCTAATTTCCATACCAATCTGATCTCTCATGGCTTGATCATCAAGGGGGGGCCTTTATGTGCTTCCGAAACAACTGGATTGAAACTGATAATGGCAAGCCGCTGCTAAAGATATACCAAGAACAGAAGCTTTCTTGGTTGACGCAGCCCGACGCCGCCACCATGGCATTGATCGAGGCCCAAGCACCGCCCGGAGAAATGGTTTTTACCACTAAAAGATCGGCGCAAGAACCTAAATCAGCTGCATCAATGGAGACCTGGCACCGGCGCCTAGGTCACATAGGACCAGACCGCATTACCAAACTGTCGGAGATGACCGAGGGAGTCACCATTACTGAGAGCAACCCTGTCAAACAGGTATGTGAAGCTTGTCAGTTAGCAGACGCACCGAAGCAGATCTCTCGGCGGAAGATCGGTCAGGCATATGGTGTATTCGGCAGAGTGCACTTTGACCTTGTTCAAAATCAGCCTGCGCACAATGGTCATATCTGGTTAACCCACTTTTACCTGGATGGAATCAAATGCCACTTCGTGTTCACCCATACCAAGAAGAACGAATGTCAGATGGCTGTTAGGAAGTTTATTGCCATCGCAAAGAATTGGTTAAACATCAATATCAAGGTGTTTCACTATGATAATGAGCGAAGTGCGGGAGATGAGGTCGAGATGATGATCGAAAATGAAGGTTGTATAATTGAGCATGCACCACCTGGCCTACCCGAGATGAATGGGCCCGCGGAGAGATCTGGGGGGTCATAGTGAGAACCGCCAGAGCCTTGATGAACGACACAGATCTCCCCCGAACCCTATGGCCAGAAGCGATCTATTCCGCAGCATACATGCTGAATCGGGTGCCCACCAAGATCAAGAATCGGTGGATTGTACCGTGGAAAGAACTCATGAGGCATACCGCACCCGACGGCGTGCGCGATCAGATCGTCAACCTGTCAAACCTGAGATTGTATGGCTGTTTAGCGTACTCTAGGATCATCAAAAGGGTTCAATCTGACAAGATGGCACCGAGAGCAGAGATCGGATTTCTTGTTGGATATGTTTCTAAGAACCTATACAAGATCTGGTTCCCGCACAAAGGCCGTGCCGGCAAAGGCCGGGTTGACATAGTCAGAGATGCTATTTTTGATGAGACCCGCCGATACTCTCCGAGTACACCGGTACCTGAGCATGAAGAAGCAGTCAGCACATTGACAGATGGCCTCGATAACTGGCCTGAGGTGCTCACATTGCAAGAAGCCGAAACAGAGATCAGTATAGAGCTAAGAATGCCAATGGTATTAGCAAGGAACTCGGCGGGAGAAGAAGCAGAGCATACCAAACAAGGAGAGGAAGCCGGAAAACCCACGTTACCACTATCTCCCAAAACAGCCTCTATTTTACCCGTGACGCCTGAATCAATCAGACCAAACCAGATCTCATGGTCGAATACCAACATACCAGGAAGCTTTCCCACCGAACCAAGGCCTCCGAGGATCTCTTCATCAACAATAACCTCACTATCGCAAGATCCATTAATCCAGAGATCAACACCATCGAGATCTCGACTCCCGAATACCCTGTCATCGTCACCAGATCCGATCTCGGTCATACCATCGATCGAAACTGAAGGGGAGGAGACAGTATCAGAAAGCGAGATGCAACTTCAGCAAGAATTAGCACAGTCACCGCAACCTACGCATCCAACTGCCATACAAACTGCGCCTAGACCAGGATATGAGATAGCACCCGCCCGTGCACCTAGAGACATCTCAAGAAACATTGATCAATCCAACATCATTACCAGCGGCAGCAGATCTCGCAGGCCAAGAACCAACCGAGATTTCTCAGCATACCTATCTCTTCACGATGAAGATCCTGCCGACAACCCGCCTGAATTGCTTCATGCGTTCACCATCAGTATGCATGAACAAGCATCCCATACCAAGAAACACCATCGAGATCAGATGCCAATAGAGCCCCAGAACTGGGCTGAGATGAAGAACCATAAATTTGCCAAAGAATTCACCGAGGCCGCAGCCTTTGAGATCGAGACTCTACGAAACAAAGGCACATTCCGCGAGGTGTCGCACCCGAACACCAAAGGGACACAGGTTCTTCCACTCAAGTGGGTGTTCACATATAAATATGATGCCGACGGAGTCCTGGAGAAGTTCAAAGCGAGGATCTGTGTGCGTGGAGATCTACAGTGGATCACTACTGAAGAAAAGAGAGCCGCAACTCTCGCGGTGAAAACAGCCCGCGCTGTATTTGCACTGGTCGCAGCATTTGACCTCGACATGATACAACGAGATGTAGTGACAGCGTTCCTCAACTCAGCCATTCAAGGTGAGGTATACACCAAGTGCCCGCCTGGTTTCGAACGCTCAGGCCACTGCTGGCTGTTACTCCGAGCGCTTTATGGCTTACGTATGTCACCGCGTTTGTGGCAGCAGGAAGCAACCAGAGTGCTGGTCAAATTGGGACTGACCCCCGTGCCTGAGGATCCATGCATTTTCACCACCCAAGGAATAATCGTTTTCTTCTATGTTGACGACATTATCATGGTCAATCATCCTTCCTATTCTAAGCAAGCAGCTACCCTGGACCAAGAAATGAAGAAGCAATGGGAATTGCGAGAACTTGATGCCAGTTGGTTCCTAAACATCCGCATATTGAGAGACAGATCTCAGAAGAAGCTATGGCTATGCCAAGATAGCTATATTGAGAGCATGACAAGTCGGTATAACCTCAAAACCAACCGCAGGGTCGAAACCCCTATGAGCACTGAGCCTTTGCTCCCATATGATGGAGTAGCAACACCGAGTCAGATCCATGGGTACCAAGCCAAAGTTGGATCTGCTCAGTATGCTACAACCATCTCACGCCCAGACGCCGCCAAAGCCACCGCCAAAGCCGCTGAATTTCTTATGAATCCAGGTCCTAAGCACATCGACGCTATTGATCGGATCATCCAATACCTATACGAAACCAGGTTTTGGGCCATTGAATATGGAGTGAGAGGCCTCGATCCAGGTATCGAATTAGCAGCAAAATCGGTTGAATTTGCCAGCGATGCTTCTTTCGGCGATAACCCCGACCGGCGCAGCTCCGAAGGATATGTCTGCAAGTTATATGGTGGGCCCATAGATTGGAAGGCATCGAAACAGAAGACCGTTACAACATCGACAACCGAAGCAGAGCTACTCGCACTTGCTGAGGCCGGAAAAACAGTCCAATGGTGGCGTCGAGTCCTCCGCGCATTAGGATTTGAACCGTCCCATCCTCTCACTATCTTGTGCGACAACCAACAAACTGTTGACCTATTGACGAAGGAAGATGCCGCAATGCATACAAAGCTTCGCCATGTTGATATCAATCGGTGCTGGATGAAGCAAGAGGTCAGTGAAGGCCGAGTTCTTGTCGCATGGATTCCAACCGCCGAGATGCCAGCCGATGGCCTCACCAAGGCCTTACCCAAACAGAAGCAGCAGATCTTTCGAGATCTGATCGGAATGAGAGACGTGAATCACCTGATTCACCCTTCAAAACAGATTCTGGTTTGAAAACCATGCATAAATTGAAGAATTGAGCAGTTTCCCAGGCCTAGAAAAGGGGCCTCGAAAACTGGGGGGTGTGTCAGAAATATGGTGGATCTGCGTGTGGATTTCTGGGTATTTACCCAGAATATCTTACGACATCAGATCAGACACATCACATAAAAGTGCATATTACTCTTTGTCAGCATATCCTACAAAATTGTCAAGTTCATAGTTTTTAGTTAGAGAGAGAGTTTAATATTACCGTTAGGAAACCCATACAATGTTGGTCACTAATTTCTGTTATGTTCTTTGATCTCAATCTGCTCAACTTGAATAATATGCGGCCTTACATAATGCTGTTTACCATAAGATCCAGCGAGCTACGAGAAATAGACGTGATCACGCTTGGGCAGAATGGTTCGCTATGTCTAGGTTTCTTAACACTTGTTGCATACGGGGCTATAAACGCAATTCACACTACAAGAGAGCAGAGCAGCTCTTGCGAGAATGACTAGATCATCCCTCGGGCGATGCTTGGCCGCCAACAGTGGTTGCTACTGGATTTTAGCAAAATACGATATGTTGTTAGCAAAACTTACATTTCTTAGAAAATCAATCGATCCTGCCGTCTCGGTGGCGGATAAGAAATCCACCGCAGCGGAATCAATTGGCCAGCGCTCTAGATCATTCACGCCAACAACGCCTTCATCTTTGTCATATTTCTGCATGAGCCACATCGTAATTGACGGAAGCACGGCAATATATGCAGCTTCGGATTGCTGTGACGTGCAATCCACACAAAATTCTAGAGACGCTGTCATTTATTAGCCAGACAAAGCAAGAGAGGTTCACCAACAGACCTATTTTGATGGTCCCGTCAATCCCGAACAGTATCTCGTTACACGCCAGAGACTGATGCGCAAGGCCAAATAATGCTAAATAGCAGGCACCGTCGAGGATCTAAAAAGTCAGGACAGCTCATCAAACAGACTACGACGGGCAAACCTGGAAGATGATGGATCCCAATTCTGCTTCGCTGGGATAAAGTGTGGGAGTAATCACAACATGCGCGAGGGTCAACGGCAAGTCGTCAACCAAAAAGAACGCAAGCTCGTCGTGCATATAGCATTCATGCAAGGTGAGGACGTTCCTATGCTCGAGACGCCCGAATTTGTGGATTAATCTTTGAGCGTTCTGCCTCCGGTATGTCCGGATGGCAACCATGCGAGACGGACGGGTACGGCGCGTGGCAATCGTAACTTTCCCGGCAATCTCATATGTAATTACCTTCCGATAGGTATCCCATGGCGACTCTTGTCTTACAATCAAGACGGACGCAATATCTCCAACGCTGCACAAGCGTGGTAGGCAAAGGCTCTTACGAGACCCAGTGACAACCTTCGATTGACTATGGCGGCGCAGTCGGGCAGCTTTCGTGGCGGCAGCCGTTTGAGCCTCGCAGGTGGTGGGTCCCAACATTGAGGTGGGGAGCTGGAATTGGGCTTTGATAGTGTCAAGGTCACATATCATGTTCTCTGTGTATGGCTTGGTTGACATGATGTGAGAAATGTATTAC